GTGAATTCCCTGTGTTACAATGTTGAAGGTGGATTATGATACCGTAGTACACGGTGGACACACTCAGAGTCTCCCAATTTAAAAAATCAACACCACGCTCAGCTGCCACTTTGCTTCTGGTTTAGTGGGTTCAGGAGACTCTGTGGCTCCAGCTAATCCAGGCTTCAAGAACTCTGACAATGGCGCTCTCTCACCTTCTACTTAAGTTAAACTTCAACTGTCTGTAGGCTCTGTAAGCCACTGACTGAAATAGGTGGGTGGGGTCTGAGTAGTTTGGGTAGAGACTGGGGGACTTCTTAGGTTTTCCTTTCTGTCTGTGTCTTTCTTTCAGCTTTTTCTGTTTCTGCTTCCTTTAAGAGATAAGAATTCCCTGCTGATTGTCTGTGAGAGAGACAAAATGAATAAGGGACCTAGGTTTAGTCCCATTTCCTTCCATGTCTCTCATAATCCCACGACTTGCCCAGGAAGTGAGACTGGAACAAGCTCAACATTCCTCACTTTCACTAATGAAACAGTGAAAATCGGCACTGAACTGAGATGCTTTGGGCTGGTGAAATACTAGAAAATACTTCTTAGTTCTGGTAAAGCTCATCCTTTCTCTCACCACTTTCTTCCTGTGGTTATTGTGGGGCCATTGGAATAACCCAGACTGGGAACAGTTTCTAAAGAAGGGCCTCACTAAGAAGCTGGGATGGGAGCATTAACCCTGCTTTCACTAGGAGGCTATTTTTTAATTCGTAGGCTTAACGTCCCTTACAACAGAAGGCTAGAGAAGGACCTTCTCAGCTGGGCGCGGTGGCTCATGCCTGTAATCCCAGCACTTTGGGAGGCCCAAGGCAGGCGGATCACCTGAGGTCAGCAATTCAAGGCCAGCCTGACCAACATGGAGAAACCCTCTCGGCTAAAATACAAAAGTAGCGGCCATGGTGGTGCATGCCTGTAATCCCAGCTACTCAGGAGCGCTGAGAAAAAAAAAACAGTTTCACTCTTGTTGCCCAGGCTGGAGTGCAATGGCGCAATCTCTGCTCACTGCAACCTCCTCCTCCCAGGTTCAAGCAATTCTCCTGCCTCAGCCTCCTGAGTAGCTGGGATTACAGGCATGCACCACCATGGCCGGCTACTTTTGTATTTTTAGCCGAGATGGGTTTTCTCCATGTTGGTCAGGCTGGCCTTGAATTGCTGACCTCAGGTGATCCGCCTGCCTTGGCCTCCCAAAGTGCTGGGATTACAGGCATGAGCCACCGCGCCCAGCTGAGAAGGTCCTTCTTCTAGCCTTCTGTTGTAAGGGACGTTAAGCCTACGAATTAGAAATAGCCTTCCTAGTGAAAGCAGGGTTAATGCTCCCATCCCAGCTTCTTAGTGAGGCCCTTCTTTAGAAACTGTTCCCAGTCTGGGGTTATTCCAATGGCCCCACAATAACCACAGGAAGAAAGTGGTGAGAGAAAGGATGAGCTTTACCAGAACTAAGAAGTATTTTCTAGTATTTCACCAGCCCAAAGCATCTCAGTTCAGTGCCGATTTTCACTGTTTCATTAGTGAAAGTGAGGAATGTTGAGCTTGTTCCAGTCTCACTTCCTGGGCAAGTCGTGGGATTATGAGAGACATGGAAGGAAATGGGACTAAACCTAGGTCCCTTATTCATTTTGTCTCTCTCACAGACAATCAGCAGGGAATTTCTTATCTCTTAAAGGAAGCAGAAACAGAAAAAGCTGAAAGAAAGACACAGACAGAAAGGAAAAAACCTAAGAAGTCCCCCAGTCTCTACCCAAACTACTCAGACCCCACCCACCTCATTTCAGTCAGTGGCTTACAGAGCCTACAGACAGTTGAAGTTTAACTTAAGTAGAAGGTGAGAGAGCGCCATTGGTCAGAGTTCTTGAAGCCTGGATTAGCTGGAGCCACAGAGTCTCCTGAACCCACTAAACCAGAAGCAAAGTGGCAGCTGAGAGCTGGTGTTGATTTTTTAAATTGGGAGACTCCTGAGTGTGTCCACCTGTAACTACGGTATCATAATTCACCTTCCAACATTTAACATCAGGGTTCACAAGAAAAAAAAAGTTGCAATTGCCAGACATGGGCTAGAATCTTAAACTTGACAGTAAAATAATGAACTCTGTACATTGTGAAATATACATCACTCCCTAGATTCTAGATCAGATCTAGAACCAACTCAGAATAAAGACACATAACCAATATTAGTTAACTTTCAGTGAATTTTTCCTCTCTATCAAAAACTATCTTTTAAACTAGCAAAAGAAGAAGAAAAGGGAAGCATATGGTTTAGCATGGTAAGGACTCTCCTGCCCCAATTGTGTTCAGGACAACTTAGAAAACAGTCTTCTGGGTCCTCATTTCCAGCCTGTCAACTTATAATCACACTTGAGAGTCCATTTTCTGGGACCATTCCTGCTATCAACTGTCTTAAGTTGGGTTCCTTAGAAACTGACTTTGAGACTTTTCCATGCTGAAAGTTTATCAGAAAGTAAGCTCAGAAACAATGTCTCAATAGGTGCAAAGGAGGCAGAATTTTGCAGAGGGAGAAGGTGAATTACAACGCAGTTTCATCAGACTTCCCAGCTGATTTACGAGAAACTTGTCCTGAGTTAGGCAAGGGAGTCAGGCCTTTAAACTCACCATCAACTAGTCATTAAATACAATCATTGCAAATGGAGGGTGGCTAATTTAGGGTAATATAGCTCCCTTTGGCTGAAGATAATTCCTGGAAAGAAATGTAGGTGTGAACTATCAGCAGCTGACACTCCCAGCTTATGAGGTAATGAGTGCTTCAAGGGGGATCTGTGTGGAGCGACACAGTTTACAACTGGGGAAAGTCATATCTGATTAGCCTTCTGAGAGGACTTGAGATGGGTGTCAGATCCCAGGGTTTGGGTCCAGCCCATGCTGAAGTCTGAGGGGAATGGATGGATGAACAGAACACTCGGCGGTCCGTAGGCAGGTGAAAGATGATTTCATTCAGCAGCAGTTCTTATTAACAACTTTCTCACACTGTCCACCTTAACTCAACTGTCTGCTCTGGCTCTGTGGCTCCTGCCACCCCCATGCCTGCAGCTGCATGGCTGGCTCTCCCTTGCCTTCGGGGTCAGCAGCTTACCTCTTTCTCTGGGCACCAGCGTGAGCCATGTTGTGGGGCCCTTCTGTCCATCTGCAAGATGGACAGCTTTGCCTGTCTTTCTCTGGGCCCCAGCACCATGTTGAGTTAAGCCAAGCCCCAAAAGCCCCTGTACAGTGTTAGCAGGGCGATTATACCTTTTACAGACAGTAGTGGCTCAGAGTCAAGTATGAAGTTACACAAACAATCTATATAACAAGTAGAAGTGTGCACCTGTCCAACAAACTCGCTGAATCATGCAGGCCTGGATATCTGCCTTGGCTTATTCCTTGACCAAAACACATCCATATACCTTACAGTGGGTAAAGGGAATAAATGGTCAGACTTTTCCTGATGATAGAATGGACTCTCCCATTGTTGCTCCCATGCTTCTTATCATAGTTCCTGTTTGTTAAGAAATTATGAAACAGGTAGAATAAAATTAAACATAATTTAAAAATGTAATGAGGACCAAAAAATAAACAAAAGTCAATAAGAACCAATATAAGCCAACATAAAAATATATTCACCTTCTCAATTTTGATTTTTAAAAGATCCAGGCATAAAATAACAGAACTAAAATAACAGAGACAAATTTGGAAAATACATTTAAAGCTTGCTTAAAATGTGCTTGTATTTATTGATTAGCTTTTTAGCAATGGAAACTCTAGAGAAGGACACACATAGAGAGCCGGAAGTGATAGATTCTCCTGGCAGGAGGCCAAAGACCTTAAGTAATTGATGTGTCTTGACCTGAACCTCAATCTCAAGAGACTCATTAAGCTCATCCATCTCTAAGGATATTCTGCTGTTTGAACGATTCTGCTGCATTTTCTGTAATAAAGAGATACTTTTGTGAAGAAATAACCAGAATCTTGTAGATTTTTCCATTAGGTGGTATTATGGCTGGCTCTTGATGGCCCAAAATGAATTTATTCCCTTGGAAAATATGACAGGGTTCTTCCTAGTGAAAATTAGCTCAAGCAAAAAGGGCTGTGTGATTGAAATGGGACTTGTGTATCAATACTTGGATGCATGCATGTATGCACACACAAACACACATACACACACAAGCCTGACACTTGCCTTTATGCCGAGGTGGCAAATATGAACAAAGCTTTGGCCTAGTGAACTGTAGACTTAATCCCTAGTTCCCCTCAGGATAACTTCTGAGATTATAATGTCTTCAGGCAGTCAAAGATTTCCACTATACCCTAAAATCCAGCCACTTGTCACCTATATCATCTCTTCCTTTTATGCTATACTTTCTTCAGCTGTCTAATGTCTGTCCTAATCCATTTTAAGTGCAAATTTCCATTATAAAAAAAGACTACAAAATGGATCCAAACAGGTTGGAGTCATTAGAGTTACTGAATTCAGACGTATATGTTACTTTATCAGCTAGAACTTCAGCATCTAAATTCTCTTTCTTGGCTTCACTCTGGAGCCTAACATATCCCTGATGCCTACAACACTGATGTAAAAACTATACAACATATTAACATTTGAGAAGTCCCTATTCTAAAACACTCCAATATTTGCTAATATTTTATTTAGTATTTTTGGGTCAGTTCTTATAAGATTAGTCTTTAGTTTTTCTTTTTTGCACACTGTTTGCCAAGTTCAGTCATCAACACTAACCATCAATACTGTGTTACCTCTTAAAAGGTGAGAAAGGCAGTAAAACAAGGTAACATGGAAAGCACTGTGTGTTTATAACTAATTTGGACAGTGAAATCTCATAGCTTTTGCAGAATTCTATTCATTAGAAGTAAACCATTAGGTCCAGCACCACTCAGGAAGAGGGGGTTACACTGGGGCACAAATGCTAGAAATGGAACACTGGGTTTCATTTGTGATAACTACTACAGGTACCTCCTGGGGAGTCTTAGTAATATTTGGGGTGGGGGACTTTCAGGACCTCAAGATTCTGCATCAACTAATGTAAATAGCCAAGTTAATAGACTTAGATGACATGTGTGTTCCTGAGGATAGATCTTTATGTATTTCTAAATGCCTCTATTGTGTTGGAGTACAGTGTGGAGATTTGAAAAGGGAGAGATGAAGGAATTGAACTGTTTTCTGAAGTTTGAAGACCTATGTCAATATTTCTTAGGTTTCTTTAGCCATATTATCTTGAACACAAGAAGGCAACTTTAGCTGGACACAAAATCAAACATTTCTGCTCAATTTTTGAGATATACAACTCTTGCCTATTTTTGTCTGCTTTTTCTGTTCTCTTATAGGCTATGGCAACTTTGTTCAATGATTGGTTTTATGTTATCCTAAGCATTCTTCTATATGATGTAGGTTATAAAGGTTGAATGGCAAGGACTATAAGCAAATAATGATAAAGGAGGCACAATCAAAGATGTTGAAAACTCTTACTTCCATATAGAATACCTTCTCATGTCATTATTCTGTTATCTTTGGTCTCTGTCATTTTTGGAATATTTCTATTTGGAAGTCTTCCCCCATGGGATTGGGAATGAAAAAGTGAGTTTAAGGCCACCATCTGTTTGTGAGGATCTAATACTGCTCTGAATGCTTCAGTAGGAACAGGTTGAATCTTAGCAAAGCGTATCACAGTTTAGCTGACTCAGCTCATGCTGGGGTTACTTAAATCATATCTCAATTGTCTTCTGCATTTGATTGTTCACTTATCAATGTTCAATATGCTTGCTGATGTTTATGTTATGGCCTGCTCACTGAATGACTCTACAGGGAATCAGGTTTTGGAGTTTAAGATACTAAGCAGGTGTTGGGAGGACTAGTCGTTTTGCACGCTTGAAGAATGGGTCTTCTATCAGATGTTAAGTTAAACTGAAGTCCACCTGGTCTTTAAGAATGTGCTAGTTTAGGCTGAAGAAGGCACAAAGCCTATTCCCACTCCTTTCTCATCACCCCTCAAAATAAGACAACAAATAGCCTCTCATCATTCTCTTCATAAATACCTCCATTGAGGATTGGGAGAGCTGGGAATATGCAGCATTGTCCCCTGATTTTTTGTATTTCCAAATATTTATATGTTTGCCATTAAAAATACAACCAACTTTATATCTTCTGCCTGTTGACTTCTTTCTCTCAAGTTTAATTCTTCCCAAAGATGATGCCCAGGCAGAAGTCATGACCTTGAAAACATAGCCCCATGCACCCCTCTAGGCTCTTGTATTTTCATTCCTTTTGAAGTCCCCTGACTCTACCACCTCTGGTTTATTATCTACTTGGAGAACATTTCCCTTCTCATACCTTTGTGCTCAGGCACATTTCCTATCTCCAATTTGAAAAGCTCATCTTTCTTGCTCTCCTTAACATCCTATTTCCCTTCTGCACTCAACAGGCCATTATAGTAGTGTCATGGGAGACATTTAACTAGCAAAGCCTACCTTGAGAACCCAGGCAGAATGAGGAAGAGTGAACTGGACTTTAAGATATTAAGTACACTATTAGTGTGAACAGTTCTACAATAAAATAAAGTGACTTATAGTTATCAGAATTTAGATCTTAACTCTCTCGCTTACTAACTTTGTGACCTTTATGAACCTCGGCTTCATCTATAAGATGTCAATGAGATGATGACAGTTACTTCAGGAGGTTCTGAAAACTGACTAAGATAATTTTTGAAAAGCATTTATTAGGATGCCTGGCACATAGTAACCTTTCACAAATGCTACCAATATTTGATCTTCTTTTTTCTTTCAGTTTGTACTCTATACTCTTAGTCTTTTAGGTATCCTCTGAGGACTTGAAGAAACAAGGACTCTCCAGCCACTAAGCCTCTGTCTCTTCCTGCAATCTGGAAAGCCCCAAGTGCCAGAACACAAAGAAAAACCAGTCTCTGGAGGAGGTGCAGTGTTTGGCTGCTGGGCAGAGGCCAAAGTAAGGTGGGTGTCCAGGGACAAGGCAGGATGATAGAGTATCCAGAAGGAAAAGAGGGCTCCCAGTGGGAATTCTTTGGAAAAGAAAATACTCCTCCCCATGACTTTCCACTGTTTATTGATTTTGTGTCATTTTTTCCGGCTCCTCTTGAACAAACCCTCTCGTACAAACCCTCTTCTTTTGAGTAAAAGAAATGTGGACTACCGGGCATCAACCTATCAGAGAAATTTGAACAGAGAAAACTCCAAGGATGTAGGTAACTGACCTGGGAATCAGGTGTTGGGCTGATAGAGATCGAATGTTGGGCTGATGACCTGACGTCAAGCCTGGGTCACCCCAGAATGAAAGTTACAAGCCCTCATGCCTCCCATATAGGGCTGTCTAGGTCTGGTGGTATATCTGCTGATATCAAGACCTTATGGAAATGATGTCTGGATGAGGGAGGTGGAGAGGGAATGGAAATATGATTACTTTGATTCAAAGCAGAGAGAGGAAAGGTAAGTCCAATTTTGAGTTGGTGGAGTAACAGTTTTCAGGGACCAAGAGAAGTTATAAGAAAAGATCCAAGCAATAGGGGTGACTGTGAGTATGCTTGGTGGGACAGTGGAGGTACTCAGGAAGAGGCACAGGGTTGTCATAAAGGGAAAGGCTCTATTCAAATGAGTTACGCATTAGTTATTTTACCTGTAAGACAATTTCAACTTGAATTATGTACTTCCCTCTCTTTTAATAGAAATGAAAAATCCTCACAGGTCTTGTGCTTTGTGAATCATGAGTTATTGACATTAAGAGACTTTTTATTTTTATATTTATTTATTTTTTATTTTTATTTGAGATGGCGTCTCCATTCTGTCATCCAGGTTGGAGTGCAGTGGCATGATCTCGGCTTACTGCAACCTCCACCTTCCAGATTCAAGTGATTCTCGTGCCTCAGCCTCCTGAGTAGCTGGGACTACAGGTGCTTGCCACCAGGCCCAGCTAATTTTTTTGTATTTTTTGTAGAGACGTGGTTTTGCCATATTGTCCAGGCTCAAACAATCCTCCCACCTCGGCCTCCCAAAGTGCTAGGATTACAGGCTGAGCCACCATGCCCGGTCGAACTTTTTAAAGCTACGTTTCAGTGACTGGGCCTCTAGATCTGCATGTGAATGTTTCCACAGGGTTAAAAACAAAGGCAGGTGCAGGGCTAGAAAAATGTCTTAGGAGAGCTTGGACACAGCGTTCTGAAAGCAGTATGCCTTACCAGCCTGAGAGCAACAGTATGTATATCTTGGTTTATTTCTACATAGGTGTGTTCATGTGTTCACATTGTAATTACTCATCTAACTGAACACTTGACATTTGTGCATTTTCCAGTATGTCAATAATGGTTCAAAAAGAAAACCAAAAAATTAAGGAACAGGCAGTTGTGTGAGATGTTTTGGTAAAACAGAAAGAAAAAGAGTCACTGGACTGGCAACAGATCCTTAATGGAGATGACACTTGATCTTCGCCAAGAAATTTTCAGTATCAATACATTGAGTAAAATAAACATTTTAAAAAGAAACAGCCAACAAAATCAAATATCCTTTTCTTTGAAAAGATTACCAACAATTAAATCTCCAGCAGTACTAATTAAGAAGAAAAGTAAATGAAAAAGGAAAAAAAAAAAAACAAAACTCTTGAGGGCATGAAAGGTATGCCCAGTTAGTTTCCAGGGCTGGAGGATTGAGGCAAGCATCAGCTGAGGCTGCCTCCTGAAGAAAGGTGAATTTACACAGGGCAGCCAGGGGAGGAATATCCTGCATCAAAGGTGAGTGGGGAAGAGGCTGTTTGGATCCCCAAGCTTTCTGCAGCCCTTTATGCAATAATGCATAAGCCTGAGTTTGTGGCATCCAGAACACATGCGGTAGTTTCAAGCATATCCTAAATTTTCTTTCACTCTTTACTACCATTCTACTTCAAAAGCTTTCCCTAATCTTCTTGTGACCCATCACTTAAGATGTCTCACCCAGTGTCCCAGCAGTTTACAGTAAGCCCCTATAAACTGACTGTGATGTGGAGCTCACTACTGTATTCAATCTGTTCCATGAAATAGCATTTCTTAAACTCAGGGATTTTCTTCTTGTTGTAGGTTTCTTTCTTTTATACAGACCACAGAGTGTAATCATGTCCCAGAAATTTGGCTTTTTAGAAAACAACTGAGGACGCCCATCACAGCTATTGTTGGCACCTGGGTGTGGAGTCAATCAGTGCTAGGCTTTCTAGAAGGTTAATTGAAGGGGCAAGCATATGTCTTTTGGTTAGGATTGAGAACCTGGTAAACGTTCCTCTAGTGCTCGGCTAACAGGGAAAATGTCTACTGCAGTAGATAGGATTCTGAGCATAGAATTCCATTAATCTGATCTACCTCATCACTCCGGCAAAACTGATGCCCCTGATGAGAACTTAAAAAGGGGAAACTAGAGACAGTATACAATGGCATCTTCCTACTATGGAAACCCTTTATTCAGGAGAGGCACAGGAAGTAATAGATAAAGCAAGCTAGTCTTGAGGTTTGGCAAATAAGCACACATCATTTAAGAGTGCCTGAACACCTAAGACAGTTCTTGGGCTATATAGGACTACTGTTACGTCAACACAAATCACGCAATTGATGTGGTGAACTACTAGGCTGAGGCCTTGAGATATACAGATTAGAACCATGAGGGTTTGAGAAAAGAGATCACATGTCCTTAACATATTCTAGTCCATTCTTGGCATCCAGAGTTCAGGTCTGTGACCAACCTACATGTCCATTTCTCTGGAAGCAAAATGATCTAATGGCAATAGGAAAAAGAGTTGAAGTAGCAATTTAGACTGAAAAAGAAATATTTGTCATACCTGCCTCTGCTCCATCCTTAATCTGAATTCAGTTTGGCAAGACTTGTTATATGACAGCAGAAGTGGAGCCATTCTTAGGCTTTCTTATTAAAGAGGGGTTGTAGGCAAAAGTAAGGAAGATGTTGTCACAGGTGTGATGAAGAAAGAAAAAAAATTAGCAAACTAGTAAACAAAAAAAAATTCTAACCTTGAGACCTGATCTATAATGGGACAGACAGTGAGCTCCTCATCATAGTCCAATTAGAAGAATCTTGCTGTGTATAGCCTGTGGGTGAGACATCTTCAGCGGTGAATTATGGGAGGACAGGAGAAAAGCTTCAGGCAATGTGGGTTGAGTGGCTTTTTACTTTTTAATAGTGGTCTTCAAGTCACACACTCTCATTTAAGGATGCTACTTGGAGCAATCTAAAAGTATGGGATTTATGCAGGGAAAACAGTTTCATTTTATATTAGCTACATTTTATTGAGCACCAAAGCACCAAGCATCATGCTGAGCACTTTTACAAAGCTTATCACTTAAGTCTCAAAATATCTCTATGATGTAAGTACTGTTACCTACATTTTATGGATGAAGAAACTGGGGCTTGGTGTGTTTACATAATTTGACTAAGGCAAAGTGGCTAGCAAGTGACAGAGTGGATTTTTAAGTCTAGAGATATGAATCTAGAACCAGTGCTTTTTGCCTCTTGATGATGTAGGAACAGTACCACATTTTGAGTGTGGTACATGAAACTATGCAGGATTTGTAGGCTGTATTCTGAAGAAAAAAACCTAGGGGTTCCATGAAGAAGATCAGCCACTGTCTCCCAAAGCTGAATGTTACCACCAGAAGAAGCAGCAACCCTTGCAAAGAATATTCTCACATGGCTGGGAAAATGTGTCCATGACCAAACACCATATGAAATCATGGAAACCAATCATCCTATGGAGAAAGTAACTAAAGGGCTACCACATAGGACTGTAATGGTAGTTTAGGCTGACTACTTCTATTTTAGGTTCTCCAGCCAGATTATTACACATTGTATGATATGGTAACACCTGACAGAGGCAATGGATGGTGAATGCAGCAATAAACAGAGATCAACAAGTGGTGTACCTCAGCTGCAGGCTGTGCATAGCAGTAGCTATCTTTGTCTCATCAAACCTGGCCAAGTGAAACCCCTAACCTTGTTTTATCCACAGTTGTCTTCTTGACTATCCACGTTGGGCTGGATGGACACCTGGGAGTTACAGCTTAAACCCCAAACTTATCACACACTACATGATCTTGGCTAGAATATTTAATCTCATTTAAGTTATACAAACTGTGTTGTATGGAATGGATGTTTGATCTATTTTAAAAATGGAGGAATACACTCACATTATGAATACTATGCTTTTTAACATAGTACTGTCACATACTGTGTTCATAATAAAGTGCTTAACTTTCTAAAGGATAAAGCTTCCTTGTTGCCTGGAATGACTTGGTAGTTTATCATGAAAAAAGAGTTAGCTGCACTGAAAAATCATAAAAGCTTATTGGGGAAAGTTCATCTATAAGGTAGTCCCAAGGTTTTGTTTGTACTAATTTAATCTGTTAATTGAACCTAAGTAAATAGGATATTCAGGGCAAAGTTTAGAGAAGGTAAGGATTATAAATATTTCCAGGTACTTTATTATCTCCTATGGAAGGTGATTTTGTTGTTCTCTAATGATCTTATTTTTCCCAAGTCATTCATGTATTTCTTTCACCACAAGGATACTTCTTTCATATTTTTTTATAGGCACTGCGCCAAGGATAAAAAATATGATATGTTTGACCTCAGGAAGCTTTTGTTCATACAACAATGAGTAACTGAGCATACAGAGATGAAAGACAGATTCATTTCTCTGTTTATCCTTCATTCCGTGGAAACTTTACCATAATAAATATACATTAATAGACTTATTTTAATAGACTTGTGACCTCAGTTATGGATTACACCCTTTGTATAAGATCATAAACAAGAGACATACACCTAAATGCATACAATAAAGTCTAGGGAGAGCATTACAATGATCAATTTAGTCTCTCTGAGGTCATGATGGGAGACTGCATGAAAGCTCAGATGAAAGGGTATGGACTGGGGAAGGAAGAAAGCAGAAAAGGCTTTCCAAAGGAGTTAAGCCATGAGCTGATCCACGAACAATGAATATAAATTTGTAAGGGAAGAATATTAAGGACGATAAAAGTGGCACAGGATAATTTTGTCAGATGCCACATTTTTGATCCTGAGATTACCACCAAGCTGAGAATATCCCTAGGTTTTCCCAGCACCACACGTGTCAACAAATCTTACAGGATTGCATTCTTCTCATACATCATTTGTGCATTAACGGGAAAAATGTCTCACTTGTGATGCTGGGTCCAGACTACAACCACACAATGGAAACCCTGCTTCCTTTCTCCTTGTGGGTATCCCAGGACTGCAATCTTCACAACTTTGGCTGGCTATCTCGCTGAGTGCCATGTACATCATAGCCCTGTTAGGAAACACCCTCATTGTGACTGCGATCTGGATGGATTCCACTCCACATAAGCCCATGTGTTGCTTTCTGTGTGTTCTGGCTGCTGTGGACATTGTTATGGCCTCCTTGGTGGTACCCAAGATGGTGAGCATCTTCTGCTCAGGAGACAGCTCCATCAGCTTTAATGCTTGTTTCACGCAGATGTTTTTTGTCCACTTAGCCACAGCTGTGGAGACAGGGCTGCTGCTAACCATGGCTTTTGACCACTATGTAGCCATCTGCAAGCCTCTACACTACAAGAGAATTCTCACACCTCAAGTGATGCTGGGAATGAGTCTGACCATCACCATTAGAGCTGTCACATTCATGACTCCATTGAGTTGGATGGTGAGTCATCTACCTTTCTGTGGCTCCAATGTGGTTCTCCACTCCTACTGTGAGCACATAGCTTTGGCCAGGTTAGCATGTGCTGACCCCATGCCCAGCAGTCTCTATAGTCTGATTGGTTCCTCTGTTATGATAGGCTCTGATGTGGTCTTCACTGCTGCCTCCTATATCTTAATTCTCAGGGCAGTGTTTGGTCTCTCCTCAAAGACAGCTCAGTTGAAAGCATTAAGCACATGTGGCTCCCACGTGGGGGTAATGGCTTTGTACTATCTACCTGGGATGGCATCCGTCTATGCGGCCTGGCTGGGGCAGGATGTAGTGCCCTTGCACACCCAGGTGCTGCTGGCTGCCCTGTACATGATCACCCCCGCCACCTTAAATCCCATCATCTATGGCATGAGGACCAAACAATTGTGGGAGAGAATATGGAGTTATCTGATGCACTTCCTCTTTGACCACTCCAACCTGGGTTCATGAACACAATATCTGTTCGGATCTGGAGCATTCCAGCCACCTTCAAAGATGCCTTAGAGATTTGTGGAGCGGGATTGGTTTACCTGGTACTATAAGGAATTCTAAGATGAAGCTGTAAAGAATATCTTTGTGTCACTTTTAAATTTCTACCAAGAATATGAATGAAATGTTTCTAATTTTCTGACATTTTTAATGGGTTAATACAATAGTGTCTGAATCACAGTAAGTTTGGTATAGAATACAGCTCTGGAATTTTTCCTTCTACAGCTTCTGACCCATATTTCCTACCTACTATCCTACCATCCCCTCTGCTGAAGAAACCAAGTGTTTGGTATCTCCCCCGAAACCTGACTGATATTCTCAGAACTGTTCTTTTCTCCAAGTGATTACATGGAAGAAGCTATTAATATATGACCCTGCCCTCTGGCCCAATAGTGATCTCACTCCATTTGGGTTCTATGTTCACACCTAGACCAGGGTCCTTCTCAAGCCATATGGTTTACTGTTCATCTAGGGAGATATAAACTTGGGATCAGAGATGGTGGTAATTCTACAACACATAAACTGGAAGGAGAAAATTGGGATTGGCCCATGCATCAAAGGCCAATCTCCAAGAATGGATGAAGAGAATAAGTCTTTGGTTCTCTGATTCCAAATCACTTTGGATACCCAGGTATATTGTTATGTTCTATAAAATACCACTTAACTTTTAAATGTATATCCTATTGTTAAGCTAGTTGGAGTTAGTATACCAATTACCAGCTTTTTGTTTTTAAGCAACAGAAGGTAAGTTAATACAAGTTTGGTTTTGGAAATCTTTCTTGTTGCTTCCTAGTCCCCATCTGTATAACTTAACCTTAAGGCATAGAAGAGAGGGATCAAATATACACAGGTCTTTCTTCTTGTGGGCACCCCTCAGGGGGTGTGCTCTGGGATGAAGAGGTTAATAGAGAACAATATAGATAAAGAAGTTGAAATGTAAGCACTCTTCTTCAGGTTACTGGATGCTTACATGATTTTTGGTTTTTTTCCCTTTCAGAAAATCTTGAACTGAGTAATCAGTATATGTTAAAAGAAAAAGATCTCATATATAAGAGATATGTACATTTGAAAATCTTAATAAAAGGATAATTTCCTACTAGTGTTAAAATTCACAGTGTGAGAAGAATCTGTTGACGGCAAGTTACTATACCTGAGTCTTAACACTTCCTGTCTATTGATAGAGAAAACAACATTAATTCAGAGTATTAAAAATTAAATAAAACATGGAAAGCAGATAACACAATCTCTGACATATTGTATGAACTTAAAAATACGCCCAATACATTTCTAATTCCATAATTTCAAGGGAGTAGTCCTATACAGACCAGTACTCATATGACAATTCTTTCAAATAGACAAGCTCCTTAGTAACTTAACATCCATACCTTTTGCTAATATTAGACTTGTTTACCTGCCAAGAATGTATTCAATTTTTGAATACCAGCAGAGTAGAAATCAACTTCTTAAAAATCTGATAATGATGCACTGAGGTCCCAAAGGGTAGTAAAGTGAAACTTTTTTCCCTCACAACCCCCTACCATAAAAACAAAACACGATTATAAGGTTATAACATTAAAAAAAAAGGATTATAAGATTATAAGGTTGTTAAACACATTTGGTAAGATTTTCATTTTGAAATGTCACATTATTCTTTCTCCATAAGTAACCTGAAAAATTGGCTAGGTCCATTAAATGAAAGCATATTGGATGCATTAAAGAATCTAATATAAAGCAACAAAGGTACAGTCCAGCCTGCACCCCAGACACTAATTTCTTCCCAGCATTTCCATCAGGAAGCTTGCCCTATCAGGTCTATGTTTCATTCTCATTTTTTTTTTCTACTCTGTAGAAAACGGTTTTCAGGCACTTAGAGCTTCAATCTTCTTGTCTGGTCTTAAAAGTCAGACAATCTGTAATAATGTGGATTATTTAACCTTACAACTGTTCTAACAAGTAATCAGAGTACCCAAACAGGCTTATAAATGTAAAAAACAATCAAACTAACCTAAAAGAGTACATTACCAATGATGCCATTTCATTCCTTCCTTCATTCTAAGTTTGAATGAATTCATCACCTAACAATCCTCCGTTTCTAGGAAACTTCCAAGATTTGTCCTAATAGTGAAAGAACAACATTGATTTTTCCTTAACCCTTTTGTGCCAAGTGTCCACAGACATTAACTGAAGTCCTTCCTAGGGACCTACTTCTCAATTATCCCCAGGGAATCCCCTGACAAAGATGCTTCTCTAATGGTGGCAGGCTCAACCCTTTGCCAGCACCAGGGTCTGTGATTCACCAGCTCATTCCCCTCCAAGCAGATGATGGAAACTTCTCCCCTTCTACTGCTAATTCTCAAGATGCAGCCTGGAAGCATGGTGGGCAGAATGAGTTTATTTCTCCAAGTTTGGCCTGTTTTAACTCCTACATACGTGAACAGCCAATATAATACAATTAAAGTAGAAACACAATTTTTAGTATTCCTTATCACAGCCATTTGAAGCACCTTTCTGCCTGAAAGGCTCTAGACTGTCAGGAGAGGCCCTGAGACAAAGGCATTGCTATAAGATGCGGGCTGTATCGTGGCACAGTGGCAAGGTCACCACGTGCAAAATCTGTGGCTTGCCTGCCTCTGTGCCTCAGACGGAACAAATGTATGGGATGGATCTGGGATCTATACAACAGTTCCATGAGGCAGGACAATAATATGAGGTCTTATGCTGAATTACACCCATTTTCCCAGTGAGGACACATAAAACCTTCCAAACATGTGAGAAGTTTCAGACCCAAATATAATAAATGATGTACAGGCATGTGACCTGTGAAGTGAGTTTGTCAACCTTGTTTCATATGAGTGTGAAAAATGCTTTATAATTTTTATAATCTTATCTTCAGCAGCTTTGTAAGAAATAACTTGCTCCAGCGGCCAGGCATGGTGGCTCATGCCTGTAATCCCAGCACTTTGGGAGGCCGAGGTGGGCAGAGCACGAGGTCAGGAGATCGAGACTATCCTGGCTAACATGGTAAAACCCTGTCTCTACTAAAAATACAAAACAATGAGCCAGGTGTGGTGGTGGGTGCCTGCTGTAGTCCCAGCTACTTGGGAGCCTGAGGCAGGAGAATGGCATGAACCCAGGGGGTGGAGCTGGTAGTGAGCTGAGATTGTGCCACTGCACTCCAGCCTGGGTGACAGAGTGAGACTCCATCTCAAAAAAAAAAAAAAAAAAAAAGAAATAACTTGCTCCATTAAGGTCATTTCAGTTTCCTCATTCATAAAGTGAAAATACAAACTAAGGCTCACAGGTTTTGTGATCCTGCCACTTAGAGAAAAAAAGCAGGACTAGGACACTGGTCTCCCAGGAGTCCAAGGGACAGTGATTTGCCCAGGTTGTGCTCAGAGAGGGAACGGCAGTGGGGTGGCTTGGGTGGGTCGGTGTCCCCCTGCTGCACTGAATTTCTCTTGCCAGGTGGTAAGAGGGTGAGGGTCACATAAAGCTTGCTTAGTTGTAGCAAACCTCAGGGGAAGCATCCTCTGACTGGCCTCAGCACAACAACCAGCTCTGGGTATGGGCAGCATTTTTTTGGCCTATTGGGAATGCCTATCTAATAGTGTCCTGAAGATTGTGTCTACTTCATCATCCTCACTGACTTAACTGTGACACCGGACAGGAATCAGGGAAGAGGGGCATTGGCTACTCCACGGACAAAGTCCTGATCCTTACCCCAACAAGTCACCTTAGAACTGCTCTGATCCTCACCATCAGCCCTGTCACGCTTTCCTCATGGGGTGCAGTGCTCATTTGACTGGGCCTCTGCTTTTTAAAATAAGTGGTTTCATGACAGACTTTAGCCTGGTAGCAATGACCAAAGGATCAGACAGAGGAATCCTTGGATTCTGAGCTCACATCAGTTTCAGGGGATACCTGTCAGTGGCTGGGTCCTCCAAGCCCCATGGAGGCCAGGCCCAATTCCAAGGCCTCTCTGGTTAGGATGATAGCTCTCTTAGTCCTCCCCATCCAGGGAGCAGATGGCCAGAGGAGCAGTATTGTTGGTTCCAATGCTGTAGCAAGGACTAAAATAGGGCAGGAGGCGCCCAGGGAAGGGATAG